AAGTAATAGGTGTACAAGCATTACGACAAAGGAACTTGTTAATTCGGTAATGTAAATAAACACAACCACTTACTGTGCAGATTATTTACAGTGAGTATGGTTTTACGCCGCTTTTAGCAATATTCCAGCAAAATCACGGCGGGGGACACCAGAAATGGGCTTCACCCATTGTACCCATGTCGGGAATTGAATCCGGGTCTTCGGCGCAGATTATTTACAACCATCTAGCAAATGCATACATGCATCTCAAATACGACCCCATCTTTTTTTTTAATAAAACATCCTTCCGCGGTTGAAACAGTTGTCACTAAATATCAAATACCGTATTTGTTCCAATTAAATGTGAAAATATTGGCCAGACTTATCCGTGTTTATCATTGAAATAGTTGATTTTGAAACGAAGACCGTCGTTGATTAATGACGTTGGCGTTCTGCTTGCCCCTCCCCCAAAGTGATCTTAGCGCTATGATTTGGGTCAGTCTGTGTTAACAAGAGTTACGACCGCCTTAGCCCTAAGATCGCTTTGTGGAACGGGGCCCTGGCTTAAGTTGGTATTCATTGCATTCCTCGCAGCACCAAATCTTCTATTTGTGTGACAAAACAATGTACCCTGATAACTGAGTCTGTTTAGGTGACGATGGGGCTTGAACTTAAAGTTAAGATCTTTTATTGGTTTTATTACCGTGATGTGATTCATGTCGCCAGACAGCTCAATTCAGTGTTCCTCGACACGATACTTTGTTTCATATGAGACGCTACACCCAGTATATCTAGTCACCCCCATGTCGATGCCGTACCCCCACTCCAATACCAGCTGGCGCCACATGCATGCATAATTATAACAAATAAACAGGGTGTGTGTGTCTTGTTATGACTTGTAACTGTATGAACTATGTATGAACTGTGTACTGCAATTGTAAAATGTATTAAGATTAATGTTTTATTATGGTGTTCTTAAATAAAAATAATGTAACCGGTGTATAGTTCGTTCTTTCCTCATTCCTATTTTTCAACTTTCCCTAAGCCTCCAATAAACATATCATGGTCTTTGTTTAAGTTGGTTACTTGGCCAAGAACCATCTAGTGTTTTGTTTAAAACACCCCTCGAGTATGTCGGATAAACGAAATTAAGTAGTGTCAACGTTCGTGGTCGAAAATCGGACAACTACACGATATATAACGATACAAACACGTTGTAATAAAAATTAAAAATATTGTAATGTTACATTGTTATCTGAACATGCATCCTTCAAAGCTTAACCCAAACCTACTACTGACTGATTCAAAATACTTTTGAAAGCATAGTCTGGAATGGAAGTCGCCAGTTTGAAACTAGTGCCGCAAAGCTCAAGAAAGCTGTGTTCTTAGTGGCTAATGTCGACTTCCTGTTAGTTATTTCATTGGTTGGTCAAAGTATAAATGCATTACGTCACAGTGGGTGTGGGGTAAGTCGGGAGTTCTCCATGGTGCTCCTTATAATGGCTACACTTTGGTTCACGCCATGTCCGTCCTGTCCCCTTGTGTAACTCACAAACCTTGACACCAGTGTCCATACGTGCTAGTTATATGCGTGGGGGATAATTTTACCATATCACTTTCACCCGTGAATATCCGGGTAAAAATAGGTCATCAGCAACCCATGCTTGCCGTAAAAAGCGACTATGCTTGTTTATGTTATAACTTTATATGTATTGTTCCTGTACCACCTATGGTGGTCTGTTGTAATAAAACATTGATTGATTGATTGGCTTGTCGTAAGAGGCGACACCGTGTCGGGTGGTCAGGCTCGCTGACTTGGTTGATACATGTCATCGTATCCCAATTGCGCAGATCGATGTTCATGATGTCAACCACTGGATTGTCTGGTCCAGAATCGATTATTTACAGACCGCTGTCATTGAGCTGGAATATTGCTGAGTGCGGCGTTAAAAAAACAAACAAACAACTAACTCACACTCACCATCGTCCTGTGTAACTCAGATCACGTTAATATAGAAGCTACGTTGAACCTCATGTACCCCAACTTGATGGAACATTGCTGAAAGTTGCGTCAAACCTCAATATGTTACCCATATTCTTCCATATCACTTTCAGATGTGTTCTATCGTACAGTTTCTGTCACGATCACTTGATCCCTTTCTTGCCCATAAGGGAAGCTGGATAGAGGGTATTCAATGTTCTGTAATGCTTTGGGGTATTACAGCTTTTTCCTGAATTATCTCGGCTTTCATTGGTCGCCGGTACGAGTTTTCATTCGTTCGTTCTTTTAGTTATCATCCACTACGTGCCGATATTGAACGAGAAAGAGCTGGAATTCTGGATTCTAATTCCGACTAACTAACTTGATGATAAATATTCCCCATCCATCCATGCATCATCCAGTAGTGTCATGTATGTCAGGTTGTTTAATGTTCGAACACTTTATAATTGTCTTCTGAGCCACTGTAATGTTACCTCGACACGTGTGACCCCCTTCAACGGACGTTTTCGCACTCGCCAATGTTGACTTATAAAATTGAAAACCTGCATTTGATAAAGTTATTGTATTAAATGCAACAACACGTTTCTAACGTTTTGCATGCTGTTTCTGTAGAAGTGTAACGGATGCTAATATACTAAACGTGAATGGAAATAGCGAGCTATTTTACAAAACCCGATCTGCCGTAAAAAGGTCGCTTGCTCATAAACTAGTATTATTTGTACGCGTCACAAACCTTGCGCTTTTAGCAATAGTTAAGGTAGACAGAAGCCAATTCAAACTGTTTTCTGTTGTTAGGGATATATTTCTTTCAGGTTACACCCGCTAGACATTTGGTCGAAGGTCGTCAGGAATAAGATCTAGAGACGTTTGCACTGAATTTGATTATGAGGAAGAAGCGGATAACAGACTCGGAATATTGCAGTTTATTTTTTTCCAGAGACACAAGTTATGGATAACAACTTCTTTATTATAATAAAGAAGTTGTTATCCATACATTTTGTGTATTTTGGCATCCATCAACTTCTAAGTAATGCCTATCAAACAATGTAATATTCCAGCAATATCCGGACGGGGCAGACACCAGAATCGAACCCGGGTTTTAACCATTAGGTTTCCACACCGCCCCAATGTATACCCTATGTGAATATCCTCTGCAGAAATTGTTATAACATGCCGTTGTCACGGGGGTACATTGTTATAACGCAGTTGTCACGGTGGTACATTGTTATAACGCGCTGTTGTTACGGTGGTACATTGTTATAACGCAGTTGTCAGGGTGGTACATTGTTATAACGCGCTGTTGTCACGGTGGTACATTGTTATAACGCAGTTGTCACGGCGGTACATTACTGTAACGCACTGTTGTCCCGGTGGTTCATTGTTATAATCAACTGTTTTCACGGTAGTATACATTGCTATAACGCACTGTTGTCACGATTGTAGCAATGTACAACCGTCACAATGGTACGTTGTAGCAATGTACCACCGTGACAACCGTTCGTTGTAGCAATGTACCACCTTGACAATAGTGCGTTATCACGATTAAAACAGGACCCATGCGTTGTGTAGGATTGATATGAGTCTTCCAGTATTCCTTGCTACAGTGCTCACTGGGTGGCCACTGTGTAAATTTGGTTGAATGGTCACCGTTCTCGAACCATTGCTTATACTTAAGTACATTAATCACGGATAAACTCGTCAGTGTGTTGATGCACAGATAACCACAGATGTTTAGGACCGCTAGCCACCTGTCAAAGAAGACAATCATATTCTGTTTTTTTATGATCAGTTTATTTGTGGAAACAAAGATGAAATGCATTAAGTAGCCATTTAAAAGTGTATATTTTCCGTGTCAACAATAAGATATGAAACCGGCCTGAAACTGAAAGTTACTGTGTTGTGAGAGACTCTCGTGGGGACATGGAGGGGATGTGAGCTGTGTTAGGAAGGTGACGAAACGTGAGTGAATAGTGCTTTGTGCCGCATCAGCAGGGTTGCAGCTGTACACAAGCTGTAACTTTATCATTCAACGAAATTTGCTTTGTCAGGTTTTGCAATAACGTAAAATTGCTAGGTGTTGGGGTGGCTTAAAATTGATAATAAACATAGATCATTAGAACTACACTTTACGATGAGTGTAAAAACATTGTCTTGAATTTCCCCTTGTCAAAAGCACTTTGCAGTTAACACATACTAAAAGCTTCCCCATCCTGTACTCTGCGTGTGTATACAGCGACACTAGCTGTGACTAAAGATGGATTGATGTAATTAAATACACTCACTTTAACAATGGTTAATCTCGGTTGTATTGTCATGTTCATTGCCGGGGGCAAGGGTTATTTGCGAGTTGGATGCAACTATCATTTTCTTTATAAGCCATGACCCAAATTGAATTGCTTTGCCTAATCTGTAAGCGCAAGAGAAATGGCGATTTTCTTCAGCATAATTAGGATTTAGGGTTGATTGAAGGTTATGTTCTTAACAATTTATTCTGAAAGTGTTTAAGGGTCGAGTAATGATGAGACACTATATCTTTCAAGTTGGGAAACACAAATTATGTTTTTAAAGATCGACATTGTAGATAACAGGAAGGTGTTTATCTGACCAAAATACACGTGTACCATTTAAGTGAGAACCAGTAAAACTTATTGGGCGTGTAATGACTGCAGTTCAGATGTGTTTCACGAGCGTTTGCACTGCGTGGCCTCAATTTGAAAGGTAATCATTAAATTTAAATCCCCGTATCGTCTGCTATTACCGTCGTCTGCTCACCGGCCGCAGTGTCTGGTGGATTTTGGCGCGTACAAGCCAAGCTCGTGAGTGACGCTCGCGCATGCTCGAGTCTCATCTCGACCGAGGTGACAGAGACAACAGTTTGCTATTGTCCCTCCCCCGTTACATGCACCTCTTCCTGTTACCCATCACCCCTCCCCCCCGTTACTGCGCGGCCTAACTTGCCGATATGGCCCCTCAGGCAAGCTATTCTTCTGTGACATTACATCGACATCCTACCCTGAGAATAGCTTAGTCAGTTATCAAGCCATGATAGGCTTGGCCCAATTACCACTTTGTCGAGGTTGTAACACGAAATCCGCGTCTTCAGGGATATTTTCACAGCCCCATAGGAGTGAAAACACACTGGAGTTGAAGTCAACACGCGATCACTGACTGAACAGAATAAATTTGATCAGAGCGACCCGAGATTTGCTCTGAGAAATCTGATAGAACAACTGCAGTGGAGTCAGGAACTCCCAACAACCTATCACCCCTCACCACTCACTTGGACTCGCCCCGCATCAGTAAGCGTGTCGTGAAATATCATTCTGCTTAGTGTAAGCATTGTATCGAGGCTTCAATGTTGTTGTGAGTTGTATGTGGGACACCAGTCTACCCGAGCTGTGCTGTGAGACTCTGACAGTGGTGACACTGTGCAATACCCCCTCCCCAAAGGACCAGGAGTATATGAGGGCAGGGGAGAGGACTCGGCGTTCATGTCGTGACTTCCATTGTCCTGTTCACTGGGATCGACCGAGTTTAACTAGTGATCCTGCGCCCGTCAGACTGGCCGCGACTACCCCACTGAGCAGTCACAGGGAGGCATGGGGGATTACTCGGCCCCCAAAAGACGAGATGTCGTAGATCGTCTCCGTAGGCGTCTAGAACACTATCGGCAACACCAGCTGGGGCGACACCGGCGTTTCAACGAGGGATACTCCGGACTTTATGAGGAACATCGCCAGCAAACACAACTCTTGCACCACCGCTGGTTGGAAAGTAAGGCCAAGAAGGCAGCGAAACAATCCAAAGTCAAACAAGACAGCTCCACTCAAGGAGACCACCGCAACCTTGTAGTGACGGTAAGTTTTGTTTTTACCGGAAGGCAGTAGCTGTAGGTAAAGTGGACGCTGTGCGGTACATGGGGGCATGCCAGTGGGAGGGTGAAAACAACCTGCGCTCCCCACCTCCCCCCATCTCCGGTCCTCACGCCAGCAAGCATACCACCAAAATAATGTGTGTCGAGTCTCGACTGTGTACATTAGATCGGTCCTGTGCTAACCTGTATCCATGCGCGTTTATTTACATTTTCATCCGATGTGCCCGCCTCGACCTTCCCATGCCCGTTTCAAAGTTTGAGCGCTCACCGTAAAATCACTGACGAGTGAGATCGGTGTAGTGAGACTAGCTCGACGCATTCCCACGCTAGCCGAGCGAGCGGCTACACATAAACAACAAAGATATTACGCTGAATGTCGACTGCTCTGACTCAACTAGGCTGGGAAAATCGCTTGCTCAATGCACTGTACATAATACTTATACCCGTGATTGGCCACACTGGGGGCTGAGGCTGCCATTATTAGGCGGTCCGGGGTGGTTGTTATTGCCCGTTGTTCCCAACCCCTTAGATTGTGGACGATCATCCCACGGACAAGTTTCTGTCTCAGCCTTTCCCAGCTTGCAATGCGACCGATTTCAAAAGGTGTATATACGATATTTACTTTGTCAATAGGGTTCCGCCCAGACTCTCGTATTGGTGAATGTTGGTGATGAGGTGTTTGTTGTTGATAGACTTCATACAGGTCTTCATAATACTTCAGTGACCTTTCAGAGTTTGCAGTCACTTCCTGAATGTGACAAGAGATCTGTAAGTGCCTAGCAGTGGAGACAGGCTTACAAAACTAAGCAATCGCCCTTATCATTTAATTGTTGACCTTGCACCTTCCCATAAAACGATCTTAGCGCTAAGGTGATCTAACTCCCTACTTCAACATAGACATAGGATTGTAGCCTTAACCTCTTTGTGGAGGGATGCCTTGATGGATTAAGTTTCATTTATGCGGAGTCTGTTTTGTATTAAGAGGATAATGACGGATTATCATGGATGGTATTAATGCTTTGTTTGTTTGTTGTTTAACGCTGCACTCAGCTATATGACTGTGGTCTGTATATAATCGAATCTGGGCCAGACAATCCAGTGATTGACATGAGCATCGATCCACGCATAAGGGATACGATGACATGCATCAACCAAATCAGCGAGCCTGACCACCCGATCCCGTTAGTCACCCCTTATGGCAAGCATGGGTTTGTGAAGACCTATTCTGCCCCGGATCTTCACGGGTCGGTATCAATGCTAACAGTTTGACACTGTTGGAATATGTCCTGTGCTAGACTTGCCATTTACTGCAACCGATTTTTAATGATTCATTAATGATAATAACCCACCTACATGGATTTAAATGTCACGGTGATCTCACTTAGCTGACCATCTGGTCTATTTGCCACAGTACATAAGGAAAACCGCCAATGAAGCTTCACTCTGTACATATCTACGTTATCTGTACATCAGCAAAAGTTGTAGTGACCCATGTTTATTGTGAAGTGTGTTGAAATCGTGGTTTGCGGTGTTAAGTGTGTTGAAATCGTGGTTTGCGGTGTTAAGTGTGTTCATAGTTGCTGAGGTGTGTGGATGTTTTGAAGGGTGTAGGCTGTATATAGAGTGGATATTATGAAATGGGGTTGTGGTGAGGTGAAATCGGGTTTAAAGTCGCGTCCAAGAGTATTGCACTTATGTAGCGACGTGCATGTATGTGTGTGTGTGTGGCTGCTTGTTCTAGTCCGGACTGATGCCGATTTATAGTGCTAGCTCACTGAGATACCATGTCGCAGTTTAACATGAATACCCCACTCAGACACAGTATACTGACTCCGATCCGACCAGTCCTTGCTTTAACCCCTTAATGCCGAGCGCCAGACAGGGTAACAACAAGTACCACCTTTTAATGTCTTTTGGTATGACACGGCTGGGGATCGAACCTCGGACCTTCCGCTCTCCAGGCAGACGCTCTACCGCTAGACCCCGGAGGCGGTCCAAATGGGGTTGTGATGATATGTTGTGTGCTCATGTAATGTGAGGATGTTGTGTGATGACAATGTGTGATGATGTGATGTTGTGCGAGAATGTTGTGATGCTGTTATGACATTGTGTTGTGTGTTGACACCCTCAAGTGATGGAATTGTGATGTGTGATGATATTCTTTGTTTGAAGCCGTACTTTGCAAATTCCAGCTATAAGTCTGCAGCCTGTAAGAAATTGAGTATGGACCAGAAAAGCCAGTGTTTGATAATATGTACATAGACCCAATTATTTAATGTGATGAGGTGTAGTGTGAGGACATAGTACAGTGTGACAATGTTATGTAGTGAGGACATTGTACAGTGTGACAATGTTATGTAGTGAGGACATTGTACAGTGTGACAATGTTATGTAGAGTGTGGAAATTGTATTGTGTGACAATGTTATGTGGTGAGGACTTTGTGTAGTGTGACAATGTTATGTAGAGTGTGGAAATTGTACAGTGTGACAATGTTATGTAGAGTGTGGAAATTGTACAGTGTGACAAGGTTATGTAGAGTGTGGAAATTGTACACTGTGACAATGTTATGTAGTGAGGACATGGTGCAGTGTGACAATGTTATGTAGTGAGGACTTTGTGTAGTGTGACAATGTTATGTAGTGAGGACATTGTACAGTGTGACAATGTTATGTAGTGAGGACACTGTATAGTGTGACAATGTTATGTAGTGAGGACTTTGTACAGTGTGACAATGTTATTTAGTGAGGACATTGTACAGTGTGATAATGTTATGTAGTGAGGACATTGTACAGTGTGACAATGTTATGTAGAGTGTGGAAATTGTATTGTGTGACAATGTTATGTGGTGAGGACTTTGTGTAGTGTGACAAAGTTATGTAGTGAGTACATTGTACAGTGTGACAAAGTTATGTAGTGAGGACATTGTACAGTGTGACAATGTTATGTAGAGTGTGGACATTGTACAGTGTGACAATGTTATGTAGTGAGGACATTGTACAGTGTGACAATGTTATGTAGAGTGTGGACATTGTACAGTATGACAATGTTATGTAGTGAGGACATTGTACAGTGTGACAATGTTATGTAGAGTGTGGAAATTGTATTGTGTGACAATGTTATGTAGAGTGTGGAAATTGTATTGTGTGACAATGTTATGTGGTGAGGACTTTGTGTAGTGTGACAATGTTATGTAGTGAGTACATTGTACAGTGTGACAAAGTTATGTAGTGAGGACATTGTACCGTGTGACAATGTTATGTAGTGATGACATTGTACAGTGTGACAATGTTATGTAGTGAGGACATTGTACAGTGTGACAATGTTATGTAGAGTGTGGACATTGTACAGTGTGACAAAGTTATGTAGTGAGGACATTGTACAGTGTGACAATGTTATGTAGTGAGGGCATTGTTTTGTGTGACAATGTTATGTAGTGAGGACATTGTACAGTGTGATAATGTTATGTAGTGAGGACATTGTACAGTGTGACAATGTTATGTAGAGTGTGGAAATTGTATTGTGTGACAATGTTATGTGGTGAGGACTTTGTACAGTGTGACAATGTTATGTAGTGAGGACATTGTACAGTGTAACAATGTTATGCAGTGAGGACATTGTACAGTGTGACAATGTTATGTAATCGAGGACATTGTACAGTGTGACAATGTTATGTAGAGTGTGGAAATTGTATTGTGTGACAATGTTTTGTGGTGAGGACTTTGTATAGTGTGACAATGTTATGTAGTGAGAACATTGTACAGTGTGACAATGTTATGTAGAGTGTGGAAATTGTACAGTGTGACAATGTTATGTAGAGCGTGGAAATTGTATTGTGTGACAATGTTATGTAGAGTGTGGAAATTGTACAGTGTGACAATGTTATGTAGAGCGTGGAAATTGTATTGTGTGACAATGTTATGTAGTGAGGACATTGTACAGTGTGACAATGTTATGTAGTGAGGACATTGTACAGTGTGACAATGTTATGTAGTAATGGCTGTTGGGTGAGACTTTTATGTTTGAGGATATAATGTTATGTGAGGATATTATATTGTGTAATATCATAGTGCTGTGTGAGGATATTATAATGTGAGAATGTTTTGTTGTGTGAGAATGTCTTATTGTGTGAGAATGTTTTTTTGTGGTTTGTGAGGCATGAATTGTGTAGTGGGACCTCTATGTTCAGTAGCAGGGAATGTGTGGATGTATAGGAGTGCACGAAGGTTATTGTATGTTGAGTGCATATTATTATGACCTTGCCTCAAACACAATTCACATGACCAACACCAACAGGGTTACCCATCAATTTACACCTGCATGGGAGGTTTATTTAAACCTGTGCCCCCATATCAGTGCTTGTCTGGGTGGGTGGTGTGGACTAGCTAAATATACTTCTTGTTCAGCTTATTTCAGTAACAGTGATATTGTCTATGCATGTTTTAATGATACAAGCATTTGGACTGCTCAATATTTGCCATGTGTTGAAATAAGAAAACAAGTGTCAGTCTATTCATATTGACTAGTGTCTTGTTTTTTATGCTGTAAAGGATATTGAGGTTGTATACCACCCTGTAAAGGATCAAAAGGATATTGAGGTTGTATACCACCCTGTAAAGGATCAAAAGGATATTGAGGTTGCATACCACCTTGTAAAGGATCTAAAGGATATTGAGGTTGTATACCACCCTTTAAAGGATCTTAGGGAAAGTTGAATCCTGCTGTAAAAGATATAGAGGTTTGATATATTGCTGTAAAGGATCTCTGAAGTTCCATCTTGCTGTAAAGGATATAGAGGTTTAATATCTTGCTGTAAAGGATCTCTGATGAAGTTCCATCTTGCTGTAAAGGATAGATAGGTTTAGTATATTGCTGTAAAGGATATAGAGGTATAATATCTTTCTGTGAAGGGCAATTGGGGCGAATAGTGGCGCCTTAAACAACCTTGACCGCCGCCCCCCCCCCCCCCCCCCCCACACACACAC